CCCTAAATTCTGTTTCTGAAATCTTTTTCTAATGACTATGTCCTGAATATTTCATTTGTTTCAACCCAGAAATGTTGGAGTAGGGGAAACTATTAAGACTGGTATACTAGTACTTTGTCAGATAATTAATAGGCTAAATGCATAGTCCCTAAACATAACTACTACTTTTCTTGCATATTGATGACTTGTATTTTTTTTAAATACTCTAAGTTTGGGGAAATAAAAATAAGTTTGTAGTCAGGTAACATGATTTTCAAGTCTGACTTTATAACATACCAATTTCTTCAGTTTATGTTCCTGAAAAATATGGGAATAATACCTCAAAAAAACTGAAGGGTGATTAAGTGGGATATATATATATATATATATATATATATATATATATATCCAATCAATAAATATATCCAATATCAATATCCAACCAAGATTGGTCTTTGCAAAAGACCAATCAATATCTCATGAATTCTCCATAAATAAAATAAACAATAGTAGTTCAGTTACTTGGAAATTATTTGAAAGGGAAATGGATTTAATAAAGATCGTAAGGCCATGTGAGAAAGAATTGGCCCAGAAGGCCGATTTGCCTGATTTGGGAAGATCCTTTACCTTTACTCATTCTCAGTTTCCACATCTGTACAGTGGGGACAATACTGTCCATCCTTCTTGCCGCAAAGGGTTGACATAAAAGAGGAAAATCCACCAGTATCTATAAACGGACTTTAAAGCCATATGTATTTGTGGGTGAAAAAGGGGTTTTCTAATAAATCTTAATGAAAGTAGCTTCACAGGGGGATCTGATCATAAATTTCTAACTGGGCAGGTCCTGGTGAGTAGTCACACCCCTGGGCCTATAAAACGTTTTTCTTCACCTTCCCATTGTCTTTGTGTGCCTAGATTAACACACCTTTGATAGGCCTCCTTTTCAAACTCCATAGAAGTATAACCACCCTTTGGAGAGCAAATAATCTTAACTATCCTGTAATGCAATTATGCAGACTTCCCTGTCTGGCTCTCTCCCACCTTCCTGTAATCACCCTTACATTCCCTCCTTAATTCCAAATGTACTGCAAACTGTCACTCTGGGAAGCATTTTTCTCAGCCTGTTGAGATCTTGTTTTTAAGTGGGTCCTTTGGTTGGCTCAAATAAACTAATAAACTCTTAGAAAGGTTTTTTTTACAGGTTTGGAAGTTCTTACACTGACATTGAACTTTTGCTCTCAGCAATGGTGGGGGAGAAAACTTTCCAAGAAAGAACAATAAAAACATGCTAAATATAATAATTTAAAAAATGTTTGAAGATATCAGAGAGTTACCAAGGAAGTAAAGGCTTCAGGAGTCAAGATCAAGCAGAGAAGAAAAACTCAGCAAAGCAAAGGGAACATCTGACGTGTCTGCTTTCCCTTTAAAGCCATTTGCTGCTTCTAAACCAGCAGCTGACAGGCTGAAGCTGAACAAAGCTTCTTGCGCCTGTCACAGGGTGGAGAGAACAGAAGTTGGCATTTAGGGTCTATCAAGGAGGGGAGGTGGGCTGGCAACATTCCCTGGCTTAAATCGGGACCCTTAAAGAGCAACAAGCCCTGTGAGTAAGATTGACAAGAAATAGATCTGCCTTTGGGAAGCCCAGCTCTGAATCAGCCCAATACGTGATTGAATTAAAGTGATATGTTCCTTAACTTAACTGCCTGCCAGATCAACAAAAATAAACTCTGCTCTTTTAGAAGGTAACAACATGTAAAGCCACAAATTTTAAGACCTTCTATATATAATGTTTAGCATTTGAACAGTATAATCAGGCAAGCAAAAGCATAGGAAGAAAATTGAAAATACGAGGCAATTTTAAAGTCCACATTATTCTGATACTGGGATTAGACAAAAATCAGGGACAACAGTATCTGTTTGAAAAATTTAATTAGAAAATTATAAGGATACTATTAAATTAGTTGTGTTAAAACAAAACCATTTTCTAAAACAAACAAAACTCAAAAATTTACTCTCAAAAATTTACACCACATCCACTTAAAAAGTTAATAAACTTCTAAGAGGTGAGACTAGATTGAGCAAGATGAAAGAGAAACACCTCTGGAGTTTTCTTTTAAAGATTTAATTTATTTATTTTTAGAGAGAGGGGAAGAGAGGGAGAAAGAGAAGGAGAGAAATAGCAATGTGAGAGAGTAAAATCCATCAGTTGCTTCTCTCGTACATGCCCCTTCTAGGGACAGAGACTGCAACCCAAGCATGTGATCGACTGAGAATCAAACTGGTGACATTTTGCTTTATGGAATGATGCCCAACCAACTAAGCCACTTCAGTCAGGGCTGGAACTTTCTTTTTTACATGATATCATAACTTTGTAGAGGTTTTTTTTGTGTGGGGGAATTTCCTTGGATACAAAAAAAAAATCACTGATTTTATTCCAAAACTTTTAATCAATTGTCCTAAGCAATTTACTCTTTGTATTCTATGTGCGATAGCAGAATTCACTTGGATTTTTACTATGCTTAGTTTTTTTTTAAAGCACCATAGAATAGATCTTTTAGTGCTAATAAAATACAACCATTTTGACTGCAATGTGCTAACATGATTATCTTTTCATCAATTGATCCTTTAGTTCATTTATTAGTACCATTAAGGCCATCATTAGACCAGGGATGAATTTTCATCATCACAATGAAATAAATTTGGTTTTTGACTTAAGAATAGAAAGTATATTATGATTTTTAACTCTCAAGAAGGAAAGCAATACATGGACAAAAATGCAGGATATATTTTCAGCTTGATGTAATTTTGAAGATAACTGTAGAATTAAGTAATTTAATAGAGAAACCCAGTTCATCTCAGATATGGCAACAGATACGTGGACAACAACATTCATGGGGGGGAAAACAGTTTCTTATCTAAAACCACAAGGAGTTTACAGAGTGGCTGAGTGCTTTACTGGCTGCCTGCCATTTTTTAGATGTGTTCTGTTAATTCTGAATATCTCCCATTTTCTCTGTAAGTGAAATTTATCAACAGCATTTAGTTTTTCATTTTTGTGTGAAGCTGAATTAACTCTATCCCATCAAAATCAACTAGGCAACAAGATGAGAAAACCAGATTTTTTTCATGAAAGAAAGGTTGAGAAAATGAGAAGGGACCCTGGATTCCAAAATAATTTGAACAAATAGAGATAGGTAGGTAAATAGTAAGTGCTATTGGTAGATAATAGCCTCTGCGTGACATCTCCATCCTACAATTACTTACAATTAAGAAACATGAGAGTTCTCTCTGATAGGCTGTAGTGAGCAGAGAAATATGTAATTTCTCTTTTGAGAGACTTTATGGCTATAAAACCAGCAGGATCTAACAATACATTGGTTCTAAATATACCTAAAGAAGGAATATGTTCAGGGAAAAGTCAGCTAAACAGGTTTTGAAAAAGGAGCCACTATTGGCAAATTTTGGCGACATTCAAATAAGCTAGTCCAGAAGAGTCTTCACTAAGCATGGGAACATGATGGTTTTAGAACAAGACTATCCTTATATAATGAATGATCAGACTGTCTCACATCAGAGACAGAGTGGATCAGAGTGTCTCGGCTTCCTTAGCATCATAGAGCTTCAAATTTGTTCTGAGGTTCGGAGAAGTTAATCAACTCACTCTAGGTTAGTTATTTTTCCTTTAAGTTAGCATTAGGAACCATGAGTATAGCTGTCAGCCAATCACCACAAGAAGTACGCATATCCTTTTAAAAAACGATGCCCACTTTTCTCAGCTGATTCGTTTAATTGCAGTGAATGGATCTACTGTTGAAGATACATATGTAGCACCAATCAAGCTCTGCCATTTTGTTCCTTCCTAGCTGAAGAGGCGAATCAGCACCAGGTACCATTAAAAACAGAACCTTTGAAAACCAATATAAATACTTTTGGGAGCTTTTGAAGAGGTAGCAAATTTCACTGGGTGGAGTTGGGGTGGGAATGAAGGGGAGAAGTTCTCCTCTCCCAACACACTCCACACCTATCCCCTTTAGATGTCTTCCTTCTCAGAGACTACTCACCTTAGTGGTTGCTCCTTCGTTCATTCATTCAGTGAATATTTATAGAGAAGTTACTGTGCTCCAGGCAATTAGGACATATCAGCAGTTCCCTCAATCTCCCTGCTTTCTGTAGTCCACATCTTTCTTAACCCATTTTTTTAATCAGCAAGATTTTTACATCTGTGCATAGCTTCTTACTATTTTTAATATATGCCTACTTAGTTCTTTGACTTTTTCCATTTTTATTATTATTTTTGATTACCCCAATGAACACAGCAAAGGGGTCCCAAGAGAGCATCAGGATGAACAGGGAATTCTTCTGAGAAGATGAGGAATGTGGGAAAGCTATGGAGGTTAAAACTTTTATCTCATACAGTTTGCCAATATTACACTCTACAAGTTATCTAGGCACACTTTCTACCATCCTCAAAACTCTGCCTCCTCAGGAGATGAACATATGAACAGACAACTAAAATTGGTTATTATTGGATATAGCGGAACATGTTTTTCTCTGCAATTTGGAACTCTTTACACAGCCTAAGAGAGAAAGTGGGCTTCAAAATAATTATTTGAAGAGTATTGATTTTTAAGAGCTTTTGGATCTTAACAGAAGATACTATTATAACACATTTAACTTTCTATAATATTCATTCAATGTTTCTCACAAAATATTTTCATAAATATTAGTTTAGATTTAGTATGACTTTAGAAATTGTTTTTTATTGGAGAGGTAAATGTTTGCAAAAGTAAATGGATATAGTGTTTCCCTTTTTGCTCACTAAGCATCCCAAATTTCATCCACTCACATCTCATCGGCTATCACTCTCCTTCCATTCTACACTACTCTTAAGATTTATTGAGTAGATGTATTAATTGGTATGATGTGTCATTATGAAAAATTTCAGGAGAAATTTCCCTTTGATTCTTTTTGGTGACTGGAAGCAAAGCCTTTCTGTCGTTGGATTTCCAGGACCAACTTACCTGTCAAACAGCTCTCCTCCTGTGACGAGTTCTAGGACCAGACTGATTTCTGTAGGAGTTTCAAATATCTCTTTAAGTTTTATCTGGAGAAAGATATAAAAAAACCACAAATTCCTTACTTTCACTTTTCTAAGAAACAGCCAAAGCTATGGCAAAACAAAACTCTATAATAGCAATGTGTTGGAACATCATCAACAAAGGATCCTTATGCACGTATCGGGGAGCCATTTGTCACTCTGGTTATCTTTATCAGTTACCTAGTTTATTCAAAGGTCCTTTTGAGATTTTATATTTTTTCTTTTGATATTTAGAAGATGCCTACCTTAGAAACACTTTCTAATTTTTATGAAAATATCCTGATTTCTAAATTGCTGCAGAATTTAGAAATAAAAGCAAATGAATAATACTTCCTAAACCATTTGAAAGCATCATGGTTGATGAAAATGCAAATGCCTCTTTCTCCTGGAAGGAACTTCAGATCATGGTTTAAGACAGAACAAGACCAGGTTACAGTATGTCTTTATGGAAAATATATCCCTCAGCTGCTTAAAGGTTGCTGGTGGATGAAGGAATACTCAGAAGAGTAGTAGTGGCAATATCTTGATTGACCATACCAGAGTTTTCATCACATTTAGATAATCCTTCCAATTTTGGATATTTTCCTTAATACGTCTGACAATCTAGTTACAGGACTAATCTACATTTGAAGAAAATTCTACACTCACTTCTCTTTGAAAGAAAAGCTATGGACAATGCAAAGGTGGTGACTGTATGTGGCAAATCTTGTTCATTGCTTACCCAAAGCCCTTCTCCCCCTACTTTATTGCAAACAGACCTTGAATGCGTGTAGGGAACAAAGGTCCTAGCTTCAAATTATGGGTCATAATTGGTGTGAGACACTTATGATGACCTTGTTCCCCATTTTCCCAATCTCCGTGAAGTTCAGCTTGCTCTTTTGACCAGCTTTGACCAACAAAATCTGAAGAGCATTCTGCTGCAGCTGGAAATTCTGGAAAGGCTTTTACTCATCAGACTCTGCTTATGGGGTCTTTTCACCTCTTTCTGTCTTGAATATAGGACAGAAGCTGGAGAAGGGTGTGGAGCAGCCATTTTTGGGCCATGAGGGAAAGGCATGAGGGCAACAGTGAATGCCCTGAGAAAGGCAGCATCATCAGCGCTGGGAAGGCGGCAGGTGTCTGGGTTCTGGGTGACATCACTGAGGAGCTGAACCAATGCTAGTGACTGCCTGCCTTCTGATTTCTTATAGACTAAGAAAAGTATTTGTTTAGACCACTGCATTCAAGTTTTCTGTTATTTATAGCTAAATGCATTGCTAACTCCTATAGTAAGTTCAAGCACTTTGCCTTGAGCCTCAGCATTGCAGGTCACTCTCCTGGACACAACTCTCTCAGAGAAACAAGTAAAATGTGTTCCTTAAGTAGTTGGCTCCATTCATAAAATCAAGTGATGGCCTATTCTTTTCACTTCACTGGCCCCAGGGAGCTTTTGCCAGACCTTCCCCTCAGTGCCTTTGTCTGGACATAGCCTAGAGCAAAGCTTCTGAAGACATTTTATTTTCCACATTCGAGCAAGTCATTTATTTGAATCTTCACATTATTTCTGAAGCAGATACCCTCTCTGAGGAGACTGAAATGACTTTGGAAAGCAATGCATTTTCTTCAGAAGCTTTTTCAGAGGAAGGAAAAAGCCAGTGTTTTAGCAGAGCAAAACAAAGTGATTTGAATTTTAGCTATCCTTTTATGCATGAAAATAAAGATGGTATATATTGCTGATCTGTCTATTTTTAAAACTCTTTCTAAAGGTACAGTATTTAAGATTTATTCAGCTGAAGAATTGCAAAATGTGACGCGATAAGGACAAGAGCCTGGTGACTGCGGCTGTTTACTGGTGGTGGAAGAATCCCTTTCTCATTATCAGTGTGGACAGTAAAAACCCCACAAATCCCATTCTATAACTTTGGAGATTATTTGAAATAGTAGTTAAAAACCACTTACAATGTTTGGATGTGAGAGGCGAAGAAGAACTCCTATTTCAGTTCTTACAATCTTTTTGTCCACCTAAAGGCAAAATGAAAGAGACAAGCTGAAAGAAACTCCCACCTTAGAAATGCCTTAATTATGGCAAAGAATAAGAAACAGCAATAGCCACCTGGGTGAATCAGGTAATTGGCAGAGGATCTTCTAAGTTTTTTCTTATGTCTCCTTCATTCCCAGCACCCTCTTATTTGTTCCCCCATGTCTTTCTCTCTGCTTCATACACAAAGTGGAGCTAGTTACAAATACGGGTCACAACTTGTCAGACCTCTTACAAGGCATTTTTCTTATCAAAAGTCATTCTTATTGCCACTAGGACATAAGTTCATCTCAAGCTACTCTTCTTCCTCTTCCTTTCTTTTATGGATTCCTGTCCCCAACCCATGGGAGCTGTCAACCGCTGCACCTGCCTTTCTTGCACAGGCCTGGGCACATAAGCTGCCGAACCACTCAGAGGACTCTGGTCCCTGGTCACTGTGATTGGGTCAAGGAGATCCACCAGGCCCAAATCATCCCTGTCATGATCCTCCCTAGAAATTTTACTCAAATAATCAAGAAATAGGTATTACCTTTGAAATTGTGGGATCAAAAAAAGGATACAGCATGCCACTACCAGTAACCAATTTTGATACCATAAGGAAACCACTTACCTGGAAACAAAGTCAAAAAAGAAAACCAAAACATTTCTGAGAGATGAAGAATGAGTACCGGTGACATAATATAACCCACTGGATTCAGTTATGCATAAGCCAGTTTGCTATTTGAACTTTCTTATTAAATGAGCCACTAAATTTCCTTTCCTATCTAAGTTATCCAGAGTTAGTTTTCTGTTGCTTGCCACTAAGGAACCCTAGTTGGTTCACTACTTGATCTCTAAGTTTAAAACAGTAGCCATTTACTTTAGGATATTAAAAAATTAGGAGGGCTTCCCTTTTCTAGGCCAATGATTAACTCTTTTAATCATAGTAAATTAAAGTTTTAGATCCTAAAAGTCATATACTAGAAAGAAAATCCACCATAGCAATATATGGATAACACCTTCACTCTTGCTGCGGTCTCTGCCACCTGAGCTGCCCAGAACCCTCTTACTGGCAGAGCTCACATGGTTTTAGAAACGAACATGCAGAGGTTTATGTGCAATTCACAGCCAAGCTCTGTGGGCATAACCAAGAGACACGGCTTCAAATGGAGAATGAACTCTACCATTGAAGTTACATCCAAGGGTGTAACTTGAGGAACCAAGGGTGGACCTGAGAAAAATTCCAATCAGGATTCAATGGTGATAACCAGACATACTTTCAATATAATGATAAGCATTCATTTAATTTTTATTCTCTAATAAAAACATTAGCCAACAAGGATATATGCTTTGAAAATAAAGAATATCCAATGGAATTTTATAAACTTTATATGTCTTTTTGCTTGGTGGTAACATATAAACATATATTTTTTTTAAAGATTTTTATTAATTTATTTTTAGAGAGAGGGTAAGGGAGGGAGAAAAGGAGGGAGGAAACATTGATGTATGAGAGAAATATCTATCAGTTGCCCCCAGCCAGGGACTTGATCCGCAACCCAGGCATGTGCCCTGACTTGGAATCGAACTGGTGACCTTTTCATTTGCAGGGTGACTCCCAGCCCACTAAGCCACACCAGGAAGAACTATATATATTTCCTGGCAAATATAATTTTGCCAGAACCTAGAGTGCCTTAACTAAAGACAGGTTCACCATTTATAAATGCCTTTAGTTTCTATGAGAAGAAAAGACATTTATAAGAAATTGCTAAAGAATTTTCATTCCAATAAAAGATTTTTCAAGAGTCTCCTGTTTCATCACTGTACATAATAAAACATTAAATAGCCATATGGTCATGTTAAAGCTTCTTAAACTATAATACAAGTTTTGATAATTTATATGGCTAATTAGAAGGCTCTGGGTGTTTTAACACATTTAACACGTGTCAGAGAAAATTTAAATTATTGAAATTAATTCACAGTGCAAAAAAAAATATATTCTACTGGAATAAATACCAGTCTGTGCAATTCAGCATACTTCTGAGAATATTCATAAATATCCTTCATAAAATTGCAGCAAGTTATAAATTTCAACTAAGAAGAGTAAATAAAGATATGATCTGTGTATATAATATCTAAAAACCAATATGAGGCAGTTACACAGGGGAGAACGCTGTGAACAAAAAAACACAAACCAAAACACCAAGTTGGCAAGAAGTAACCACGTGACTGCACGTGGAAGCGACAGGCCCTGGGGCATTCACAGCGAAGGAACAGAGAGACGCACACAGTGCCGTGTGACTCGGGAACTCTGGGAACTGCTGCTCCAGCCGGTCCCAGACACTAAACTATCATACAACTCAAACTATGTATTAATCAAAATGTTTTTAGTGATAAGTAACATCCAGCTCAAACTTGCTAAAGCCAAAAAGGTAGTTTAGCATATATAACTGGGAAGTCGTAGTGAATCTATCTTCAAACATAGCTAAATCTAGGGGTTCTAATTCAAACACTGTAGTGTTTTATCTCCCACCGACCCCAAAGTATAGAACTGTGGAAAAAGGCAAAATATATAAATTATTAATGGATAAATACATAGCAAAATGTCTTTAAATTTTCACAAGCATTTTCTTCTGCAGAGCTTCTGCTTAATTGAGCATCCTGTTTTCTGATATATCAACAAGTCCATGTCACTGACGTGCTTGGTGAAAAGACTTGACAACTGAAGCTTTGTTAAATTGAAGGTAGTTTTAGCCTATAAGGATTTGAAAGTTAAAAATTTCCAACATACAAAAATCTGTTACAACATGCAAATATTAAAAGAGGGACACAAAATATGTTGAGGTTTTTCCACATGAGGCTAGTGTCTCCAGTGACTATGGAATTTTCACCAAGTCTGAGTATTCTTATTATCTGCTTGAGCTAACAGAAACCTGGACACCTCATGACTATGTTTTTCGCAGTCTTCTCAAAGTGGTGACTTGTCTTTGTCTGTCTCTGTGGGCAATGTGCCACAGGGCCCAGAGTGAAGTGTCCTAGCTTGTCATTGCTAGGTCCAAACCATTTCTCTTCCCTTGTCCCTCCAAAATTCCAGCTGCTTTGAAATGTCTGCCATCAACCAACACAACCTGCAACTTCTTGTAGTCATCTTCCCATCTCCTTATTACTCACCCTATACTAAACATTTTAGCATATTTCAGCAACTTTCTCTCAATCACTGATCCTATCATTTTAATAGCTTCAGCTTTCATGCAGATGATCCATTCAACATCCCTGTCTTTCAGTTGTTTCTTTTTGACCATTTCCTCAATGCCAACTATCATTCCGCTACTTCTTAGTCACCCATTCCCATAGTCACATCCCAGGCTTTATCACTGTCATTGATTGTGCCACTTCAAAGACATTGATTTCTAACATCACACTCTCTGCTTTCTACCTCTTATATATTTAACTTTCTCTTAACTTAGATTCCATGGCCCATTAGTATAAGCAATGACCTGCACATTCCCCCAACTTCTTTGCTCTTACCTTTCTCTGTTCTATTTGCCAGGAAAAACCCTTAATGTGGTTAACTCTGCTCTTCTCTTACCCTATGTCTGTGCCTGAACTGAAGTGTTTGGAAGAAAACACACAATCATTACAATTGGTTCCATTTTCAATTTATAACCACAAATATCCAGCTCTCTCTAAAATAGAACATTTTTCATTTTCTCCTTCAAACCTCCAATATTACCTCTTTCCTTCACTCTCCTATCACAGACTTGCTTCTAATTCACTGAGAAGGTATAAACAATCCAAAGAGAACACAACCTTTTCACCACCCAATCTATCAACCTATATACAATCTGTATCCGATTAACTTCATCTATTTATTCTGCAGATATTTTTGAGTATTTACTACTTAAAGATGCTATTCTGAGCATGAGGATACAACAGTGAACAAATTGATAAACTTCCTAAAAAAATTTATGCTCCAAGAAGCTTATGTTCTACTGAAGACAGAAAATGAACAAATAAATAAAGGTCCAAAGTTGCTAAGTACTAAAAGAGAAAAAAACAAAAGAAAAGAAAACAAAACAAAACAAAACCCATGGTAAGGGAGATAGGGTGATGAGGGTGCTACTTGAGTTGGAGAGCCAGGAAAGGTCTCGCTGGTAAAGTAACAGGACACAGCCACTTGGATCTGAGGGAAGAGTGCTCCTGAAAGAGAAGCAAAGGGCCTCAGCTCTAAATGGGGTTTGACACAATCGAGTGAGAGCAAGGAAGCCAGTTTAGCCAGAGCAAAGTGAGAGAGGAGGAGAGCAGTAGATGATGACAGAGGCTTCTCACGACCAAAAGCTGGGTCACGAAGAGCCATGCTGAATGTGGTAAGGACTTGGTATTTCAGTGTTAGAGAGATCAGACATAATTGGTAGGTTTTGAGAGAGGTATGGGACGACTCTAGTTAAGTTTTAGAAGGTTATGTTGAATCCTGTAGGGATGAGGATGATGGAAAGAGTAAAAGCAGGGTAGACTCAATAAGGGCTTACGGCAGTTACCCGGGTGAGAGATGGTGGAGGTTTGGGCACAGGTGGTATAATGAAGGAGGAAGAAGGGGATGGATAATTTTAAGGAAGAGCCAACAGTATTTGAAGATAAACTGCCTCTGGGGTGTTAGAGAAAGAGAAGTGTAAAGGCCGACTGCTATTTTTTTTTTTTTCAGCCCAAGAAAAGGGTAGAATAACATTGCCATTTCTGAGATGGGGAAGGTGGGAGAGAAGCAGGTTCAGGAAGATGCTATTACCGTTTGGCCCTGTCCATTGTACTTAACTCATCTACTCTTTGTCCCATTTTACTCCAGCTCACTTATCATCTAGTTGACTTTTGAAGAAGCCAAGATTATTTCCATTTCCGGGCCTTTCCACTCCGTACTTGATAGCCTTTGTCTTGAATGTTCTTCTCCCAGATCTTTCAGTGCGAGTTTGGATCCAATGGAGAGGAGGATGGAAGGGGCAGCTACACAGAAACA